TGCAGAATGAAGTCGGTTGTGCGAATATGGCCAAACGCAGAGGTATGAATGAAAAAAGACGACGGTTCACCGTGAAGGCGCAACACGCCAACGGTCCGCGACACCGCACGACCAACTGCTGTGGCACAACGCATTTCTCGAGTACGCCGACGCGCTGCGCCCGCTGACGACAAGCTATGCGACGACTCACGCACGCAACATGGCACGCGCCGGATTTACCCACGCCTCGCACCTCTGGGACGCATGCAGGACGTTTGATACCTTCGCCACCAGCGTACGCGCCAAGTGCGCCGCGCTGGAGCCCGCAGTGCGCCCACCTACCAAAGCCTGGCTCCGTTCGGTGGGGCGCGCGACCGACTGCCTCGCCCCTGCTACACCATAGGCCGTCCGCGTGGCGCGTGTGCTTTGCCAGCACGGTGATGCCGCTGGCTACGGCTACGACTCGCCACGCTTGTCGACGCCGACACGACGTCGCGGCCCAGTGCCTCCTCCCTACGAGATATCTGCAACTCCCCGACGACCACTATGCCACGCCGGCCATGGTGGATGCAGCAGTCAAGTACCGCCAACCCGAGCGCATCCTGCCGAGATACGCTGATTCCATGTACCGTGTGGTGCTTGGCGCCGTCGCGATCCGCTCCCGGCTCTACTTTCTGGCCAATGACGCCCAAGTCTGTTCTGTCTGCGGCGACCTCGAGACGTACGACCATCTTCTGCTTCATTGCGAATTTGTGACTGCCGTGTGGGCGGTCTATCAGCCACTCGTCGACGCCCTCGAGCTCGAACCTTCCACGACGCTTTCCGCGCTCCTCTTTGAACCGCTGGTGACAGCCCAACGCTACCGTCGGCGTGCCGTGGCCATGATGTGGCCGATCCTCCGCGCGTGCATGCTCCACACCGTCTGGCTTGCCCGCAACGACCGCGTATTTCGGCCCAAGGCGCCCCTCGTGACGCCTGAGGCCGCTGCCCATCGAGCCGCGTTCTTGACCAGGCTGCACATCCAACACTTGCTGCTGAACACTCTAGCATTGTGCCTCGTCCCCCCTCGTCCAAGAGCCCGAGCAGCCTGCTCTTCGTCGGCTTCTCCGGCTCCTCGCCCAACACGAGTGGCCGCGACTTCACCTCGTCCCGCGGATCGCGCTCCTGCCTCCGCATCCCTAAATCAAGTTCCTCAACACAACGAAGAAAGTCCGACAATTCTATTTAGCATATTGTAATAGACGACCCACTTCAACAACAACAACCAAGTGAGCTAAGTAAGGACTGTACAAATCCGCAAACGCAGATGCATGAATGACGAAAGACGATGGTGGGAAGCCGTTTGCGTCCATCGCACGCCATAAGCACGGTCAGTGCGCCTGTATTGAGAGCCAAGGCGGCAAGCGGAGATGCAGCGCGCAGCAGTTGCGCGAAGTGCAATGTGGTGCGCCACGCTGTTTCAGACCATAGCCTCGACAGGCTCTGTCCTGCGATCTGGTCACACATGGGACATACTGTCGAGTACCACGAAGCTAGTGGCGAGCGCACTTGAACCCAGCGCGTTGGCTGCAAGACAGGCCGAGATGCGTCGCTTGTCCCATGTAGTACGCCGGCGCAACCCTGCGAATGGCCGATGACGACACGCTTGCCGTTGGCATGCCTATCAAATCTGGTCACCGTGGGAGCGATGTCCCAGCGCCAAAGCAATGGCACTTGCTTGGTTTGCTTGTTCGTGTCGTACTGGAGGCTGTGGCGTCAAAGGTCAAAACTGCTTCGTTTCTAGAGCAAGCGAGGAGTTTTGGGAGCCGTGAGAGGACGAGACGCCGAGATACCTCCGCGTCGTAGAGACGTCCGAGACACGACGAGAGCACACAACGCGCGATCGAGACGCAGAGAGACGCGTGGGATCGCGTCCTTGCGAGCCGCACGATGTGCACCAGTTGGCGTGGACGCGTATGTGTATCTGATCACTGGTTTGCTCTGTCGCATGCGGTGGATATTACGGTTTGGAAAAGCAATCGATCGAGGCCTGTCGCTGCGCCTCGTTGGCGATAAGCCTCTCGACTCACTTTTCGATTTGCCTTTTCTCATTCCCATGGTGGCTTCCATCTATTCGACCCTTCTCGCCGCCGCGTGCGCTGCCTCGACTGTCGTGTCTCTGAGCGCGCCGACGGACTGCCCCATCACGGTGTGCCCGATGTACTACCAGCCCGTGTGCGGCTCGGACCGCGTGACGTACTCCAACAAGTGCGAGCTCGAGGTTGCGGCGTGCAAGACCCCGGGTCTCATTATGGCCAACGCGACGGTGTGCGGATGGGAGGCGGCCGAGTGCCCGCGCTACTGCCTCGAGATCTACCGCCCCGTGTGCGGCTCGGACGGCAAGACGTACTCGAACGAGTGCGAGCTCAACATTGCCGCGTGCAAGAACCCGTCGCTGACGCGCGTGCGCGACGGCCCGTGCAAGCTCCCGACGCCGACGCCCAAGCCAGCGTGTCCGGACGCTTGCCACAAGATGTACGAGCCCGTGTGCGGCTCCAACTGGGTCACGTACGCCAACAAGTGCCTCCTCGAAGCCGCCCAGTGCCGCAACCCGAGCATTCTGCTCGCAGCGACCGGCGACTGCAAGTGCAACTACGCGTGCATGCGCAGTTACGACCCGATCTGCGCGTCCGACAAGCGCACGTACAGCAACTGGTGTGAGTTCAGCAAGGCCGTGTGCAAGCAGCCCGAGCTCACGTTCCGCAGCATCGGCGTCTGCAAGAAGTAGTCGGCAGACTCGAGGACTACCGACGAGCGTCGTCTCGATGAATAATTCATACTGCATGTTGTTTCTTTCAAGCGTGGGGTGCGTGGGAGGGGACATAAGGCAAATTGGCGACGAACAATGAGATCAACCACGTTGGCATCTACCGGGTGGACATCGGTGTGCCATCAGGTAGTTGGTAGAGCTGCGTTCGAGTCGCGGCAGGTCTCCCCACGTTACTTGAAGGCTGCATGCGTACCAGTATATTAAGGGACTTGACGAGTATTTCGTCTCTCTACTGGTTTTTGCACAGTACTTCATACGAACCTTGGCATTTGTCATCATTTGTGCAGGCCATGCGAGGGGCTTGTATTGGTGCCCGCTCGAGTCTCAAGATACAAGGATGTGTAGTTGGGTATATAAATGATAGATAGATGCTAGATCCCACTCGAATACTACTCATAGCTAGAGGAGCTGCGGCCGGGCCGTCAACGATTGCTTGGGTTCAACAAGCCATCGCTTCGATCCCATTTGCCGCAGGCTGCAAACAACCTTCTGAATTCAACGGATGCATATCAACATGCTTCTCATGCTGGCTCGCTCGGCAGGTGGCGGCCGCTCGTTCTTCAAGTACAAGCAAGCGATTCAGTGATGGCGGCTCCTCTGACCAAAGACGCTGCATCTGCTTTTCGTCATGCGGCTCAAGGGAAACCAAGATGGCATGCGTCTTAATAGCAATGCCTCGAGCGGTGTATACCAGGTATATAAAGTGTATACATGGAGTATCAGGTTGACGGTCCGCCACTTGGTCGTCAACCTGGTCGCCGCATGGTGACGCGCCGATCTGCACGCGGGAGCCGGTCCTTCGAAACACTCGGTCGCTGGATCGTTGCGCGGTGTCACGCTGCCACGTCACGACCGCCGATCCACCGAATGCTTGCATCACCACGTCGTCGTTAGTCAACCTAGAAGAGCAACGAGGATGTGCCGACTGCTCCTTGCCGGTGCTTTCATTCTAGTACATGACAGCAACCAAGATACAAACTAAACCTAATCTTTGTTGCGCATTATGAGACCACCGTGTGTCTGTCCCGACTACTTGGGTCCGTGCGAGTCGTCTATGGTACATACGCTGTGCTTTTTCGGGGCCATGTCGACGAGCTCATGCGAGCAAACCGGCGCGTTGCAGCGCGCGGTGGGCTCCACAAGCATGCTTCTTCAATCGAGGGTCGACAATGGATTCCCATTCTTGGATGAGCGCCAAGACGGCGCTCGCGCCGTCGGCGTTTGCGAGCTCCTCGTAGTACAAGGGGCAGAGGATCTCGAGGATGTGCAGGCTTTCACGCTGCAAGTCCGAGGCAACCTCGGCGCCGCCGGCCGCCATCGTCATGATGACTTGCCACCCGTCGCAGTTGATGAACGCGCGACGGCACTCCGGGTCGTCGCAGAGCCGCGCAAGCGCAAACGACGTGCACTGGACAATCTTCTTGTCCGAGGATGTCGTGAGGCGCACGAGGTGGGGCACCAGCGCGGCCATAATGTCCTTGTACTGCGGCGTCGTCGCCAGCGAGATGCTGGCTAGCACGCCCTGGAGCTGCACGTCGCTGTGCTTGCTCGTCAGCATCTCTTGGAGAGACCGCACCGCGTCCTTGACGTGGAGGTCCGTGGGCGACGCGGTGGTCGACGGCACGGTCAGCGGCGCCGGGCGCTTGTGCTTGAGCGGCTTGGTCGCTCCTTGACCACTGAGGAGTTGCTGCTTCTTACACGCGTCGACGGCCTCGCCGTACATGTCCATCATGCTTACAATGTCGCCGTCCCGGCGTTGGAACTCGACCACAAGCTCGGCGCCGGCCTTGAACAACGTCACGTTCAGCTGGACGCGGCTCGCGCCGACCACGCGCGAGACCTTCCACTTGCCCTTCTCGGCCTTAAAGACAAAGTCGGCGCCCATATCCATGAGCTTCTGGCCGATCGTCATGCAGAGGCGCTGAAGGCTCGTAGGTTTGACGTGAAAGTGCGAGTGCATCTCGAGGCGGAACGGCGGCGGTGGCAGCGCTTTCGGCATCGTCTTAGCATAGTTGGTCGGGTCGACCATCGCGATGCGCGGCTCCGACGGCGTATGGGCCTGGCGCGGCTTGGCGCGGGCGCTAAACGGCGCCGGCGCCGCCATCGTGAACGCGGGCGCTTGGTGCATGTGGCCAAGACCCGGGCCAAACTGCTGCGGCATGGCCATGGCCGCGATCGACCGGTACTCGATCTTGTCGTCCGCTTCGTCGAGGACGCTTGGCACATGCAGCCGCGCTGGCGACGTCGTCTTGACCTCGTCCTTGGCTTCCTCCTCCTCCTGCTTCTTCTTCTTCATCTGCTCGTCGGCGTCCGTCGTCGCGTCCCGGCGGTCCATCGTGCAGTCGTAGGTTGCAAAATCCAAAATGGCCATACAAGCCGCGAGGTTCATTTCTACACCGTGACGCCATACAAATCGCCAGTCTAAGCGCTGGCCACTGGCCGTCTGCTTTTTCACCACGTTTGATTGGCCAAAAAAGCGTTTCTTATCCAACTGGCTGGAATCATATTTTTCGACGGAACGTTCGTCGCGCCTTCCGGTCCCGTGCGTCCACGGATTCCACTGTGCAAGTGTATACCATACAAACATACAGTGTAGCGGTCCGAGACGACGGCATCCGCCAAGCAAGTGCGCGCGTCGTCGCGCCCGCCAATGCTAAACGCACGCAACCCAACCCACTGTTGTCGTCGTCGTCGTCGTCGTCGTTGGCGGCGACGTTGCCTCGCGAGCGGCTACCCGACACTATCGGATCGTCCGACTAGAACTCGAGTCGAAATGCCAGCTTAGAGTCCCTATGTACATTTTGTAGCGTGTGACGCGCTGGGCACTTGCACTCGCTCTTGCTTCCCTCACGCCGTGACAACACGAGTGCTGAAGTTCCCGCGAGCCACACGGTGTAGGCAGCAGTGGCAGATAGCCAGATGCACAAAACGTGCAACCTGCCCCATGTGTGTGCTAGACGCGCACCAACGACCCTCGTCTCGGGCAGCGTGTGGCGTCCACAAAGTAGGTGATGAGCCACTCTTTCCCGCGGCTTGGTTGGGTGCAGTGCGCAACCCAACCGTTGTATGGCGCCCCTCATGGCGACGACACGCGATGCGGCGTGGTCGCGTGGTCGCGTTGGCGCCAAGTTGCGTGATATTAGTCGATCGCAGGCGCGAAACGCTCGCCGTTTCTATATTGCCGTTTGGCAGACAGGCGGGCGCCAGCGCTTCGAAAAGAAGAGCCGTTCTTCTTCCCACGACAACGGTGGCGCAGCCACCCGCTTCGGGTGGTCGTGGCTTTAGGAGGATCTTCCGGTACCTGTGTGAGTCGATCCAGAGAGTGGACTTCTCCGCTTCTCCGCTTCTGCGCGTCTTCCGCCGTCGACGACAGAGAACTGCGACCAAGCGGCGAGTACGTGGCACGCGTACAGCGCGAGGCTGCCATCTTGTAATGCCATTGTGCCGGTACAAATGGTCGCCCATCGCCCTCGCCGTGCCTACCGCCGGAGCGGGATCGGGTTGAGTGCGCGACAGCGGGCTACTTCAACCACACAAAACCAACGGTCCACAGCGATCATATCGCAGCACAGCACGATGTGGTAAAGATGTGGCCGCCGCTGGTTCCACCACCAATATGCACATCATTTTGAGTGCACTCGAGGCGCAGGTACACATCCCTTGCCCTATCGGCCCCGAAATACAGGGCAATCCTGTCGCCATTTCATCCTCCGTCTTTGCATCATTTTGCATCGACATGATGACGTTGAACGCGTCGCCAGAGACTTTGAGGTAGACAGTATTGGTTGGTACATACTGTATGTGCCAACTGTAAAATCGTGCGACCGACTAGGCTGGGGCGACGAGTGCATCCGTTTCGAGGCGCGTTGCGTACGATGCAAGAATCTCGGCAGCGACCGCGAGCTTGGGCGACTCTGGGACTTCGTCGCACTGGAAGAGGAGCGTCTGGAGGCAGAGATTTTCGTTGTGGATCTGGTTGTTCTCTTGGGTCTCGCGCCAGTCCGGATCAAACTGCGGAAACTGGGGCCCGACGCCCGAGAAGCCGAGCGCGTGCACCAGCTTCGACCAGATCTCCCGAAAGAGGAGCCCGATGGCACCAAAGTCCAGGTGCAGATAGTGGGCCCACTCGGCGTCCATCGTGCGCCGAAGGTCGTGCATCGCCGGCAGCTTCTCGTTGCGCATCGCCGGCGCCTCCATGTACGTGGCGAGTCGGTACGCGCGGCTGAGGTGCTCGGGCTCGGTCACATTGAGCGTCCGGCCTTTCCGCTGCATCTTGGCATGCGCCTTCTGAAACTTGCTCCGGCGGTCCTTGCTGTCGCGGTGCGCCGTCCTGGCGTCCACCTCGCTGGCGTCGTTGCGGAAGCTCGCGGCCACGACGGGCGCGTCTTTGGCCTCGTAGCCCCACGCGATGAGGTGCGCCTTGAGAAACCCACCGGGCGCGTTCGGGCGACTGCCCGCCCACACCGACTTGCCTTGTTCAAAGAGGTCGGCGAGCATCTCGAGCACTGGAATGTGCGCAATGCGATCGCGGCAACGGAGCGCGTTGTAGAGGTGCAGCACCAGCCGGCCTTGGCCAATGTCGTCGAGGAGGTAGATGCCCGTGTCCAGGCCCAGCGTCATCGTCGTCATGAGCACATGCTGGCCGGCCATCCACGGGTTGAGCCACGCACGCGCGACCTCCTTCTCGGAAAAGCCAGGGTACGTGGTCGCAATGCGCAGCGTGTTGCCGAGCCACGCCGTCGTGATGTCGAGGTTGCGGGTCGTGTGCGGCGGCGAGTACAGCTCGCCGGGCTTCGTCTTGAACGTCAGGAGGTGCTGGAGCACACGGCGCATCACGTCCGTTGCATAGGCGCCGACGCTGGCCACGGTGACCGTCTCGGAGGATGGTCCCTGAACCGCTAGAATCGACTCGAGAAGACACTGCGCCGCAAACACAAAGGGCAGCGTCACCACTTGCGTCGTCTCGTACTCCTTGACGAGCTTGTGGAACGGCATAAAGTCGTCTTGGTGGTCAATCTTGAACGCGCGCTCGTCGAGCACTTGATGCAAGAGCGGCGGCAGCACATCGGCCATGAGCGTCTGGAACAAGGCCTTGCGCGTCGGCGCAGACGCTACAGCCTCGTCCCAGGTAGGGCCAAAGAACCCATCCCGGCAAATGAGCCGCGTTCCTGGCTGAATCGCATCCAAGAGACCCACAAGCAGCAGATGCAAGTCGAGGAGGTCGTCGTTCGCGTCGTCTTCGTCCTCGTCGAGGTGGTTCGTGTAGAAGAGCGCCGAGCCGCGGTTCACGACATCGATCCGCATGACGCTTTGGAGCACCGAGTCGGCCTCCGAGAAGGAGACCTTGAGCTTTTGCATGACCACGCGGCAAGTGTCGTCGTACTTGCGGGGCACGGCCGCACGGCGCGAGAGCACGATGACCTCGACCACGCGCTCGAGCGGCACGTTGTACTGGAGCGTGACCGGCTCGAGCATGCCGTGGTCGCCGAGCAGCACGGCGATCTCGTCCAGCGACTTGAGGTACGGGTGTTCGACCTGGAGCTCGCTTGAAAGGGTGCCGACGAGCTTGACGCAGGCGTTGGTGACCGCGGTCGCCGCGACTAGCGTCGTGTCGCCCTGCTTGAACGCACGCCACACGGCCTTGACTTCGCCCATGAGCTCGTCCATGTCCGAGACAAAGCACCACGCGCGGAACTTTTCGGCTTCGATGCGCGCGAGGAGCTTGGCACGCGTCGCCTCGGCCCGCGTCGGCTCGACGGGCGGGACGAACGCTGCGACGTCAAACGCTGGCATGTCGGGCGCGTCGGTATCGTCTTCGTCGTCCTCGACAGAGAGCGCGCCAAACGTGTTGGAGAGGTTCGTGGCGTCGACGACGGGCGCCGCAGTCGACGGCTGACGGACCTCGACCAACGGCTCGAGCTTGGCCTTGATCGCGCGAAGGAGGTCGAGGAAGTGCACATGGCCCTCGTCCGGCGCTGCAACCGCTTCGCTTGCGAGCCATCGGAGGCGGATGCTGCGCGTGAGCTGGCGCATGATGCTCGCCGGAACCGGCATCGCTTTGTCTGCAACCTTGATGGCCGCCGCCCAGATCATCGGCGTCGTCCACTCGCCTGCGCTCGCCTTGCTCGCCTTCTTGGCCTTGCCAGATGACGAGCGCTTGAGCCACGCAACGACCGCGTTCGTTGCCGTCTTGTACCGATACCACCGACCACACTCGCTATGACGCCCCATACTTGCTCACGCCTGGCAATGCAGCCCGGTTGCAACTGGCAGCAATCTCGTCCAGACAGTTGGCCTTAAATATGGGCTTTCGGGTCTAATTAGGTGTGATGACGGCGGGTTTTGGATCCTAATTAGGTTAAAAAGGCCTCCAAGGTGGATGACCAGCTTGGTCACGCCGAGGCAGCTCGCCATACAAGAACCCGTGCGTCGACTTGGCGTACCGTTCAGAACTAGTACGCAGACACACCGTCCGAACGTGCTCTAGCAAAGGTCGCTACATAGCTGAGAGCGATGTTGTCTCTGTGGCCTTGGCACTCGATCGAGCTCACCACACGCCACGCCGATGGTCCGGTGGCGAGCGACGATTGGCAGGCTCCTGTACTCGATCACGTCGTTCCCATGAGCTACAGCATGTAATAACTACGTAGGTCATGCATGCTATTACACTATGGTGACTATACATTGAATAGAAGACACATACAATCCTACAATTTCACAGGACGCCGACTGTCGCCTTAGCAGGCGCTGGCGACCTTGGTCGAGTAATTTGCATGCGGCGCGTCGGTCTCGTCGGACAAAAGCACCGTGGCTTCCTCGTCTTCGCCGTCTTCGTGGGTCGAGATGTACCGGAAGGTCCAGTACCCAAGAGAAGCCATGAGCGTGATGCCAATGAACGGCGAGATGAGGACGATCGTGCTCACAGAGAGGAGGTAGATGAGCACGATGCGGAAGATCGCATCCGTGATCATGAACGTGCCCCAGACGATGCAGAGGAAGCGGGAGACTTCGCGCACCTTTGGGTTGGCCCACTTGGCGTCCATTTCTTCTTTCGACTTGTCGGTGATTTGGCGCCGGAGGCTAAAGAAGAGGTCTTCCTTCCACGTCAGCGACAAAAAGTGCATCGAGCCAAAGAAGATCGTCGTGCACGAGTCCTTGGCCATGAGCACGCGCGGGTCCGTTGTCAGCGACAGCAACACCAATGAGAAGATCATCGAGAAGATCTGCATGAACGAGACAAGGTCCTTCCGGTTGTGGGCAAAGATCTCGTAGACGGTCTTGAGCATCGGCGGCACGCCCGAGAGCGCCACCGCGTAGATCTCGGACGTGTGCGCCTTCATGTAGTTGTAGATGCCAATCGGCATCGCAATGTTGATGGCGACGATGCCAATGATGTGCCACGTGCGCTCAGCATGCGACTTGGTCGGTGGAGCTTGCGTCGGCGACTTCATTTTGGACATTGAGTCGGGTGTGAAAAGGCAAACAGACCAGCACTCTTTACGAATGTAGGTCGCTCAATCCGGTCTCGTTGAAGGGGCACTCCTTTGAAACACCATCTGGTACGTTGCCAAACACGAATTTGCAAGCCAACATAATCGTAGGTTCCTTTTGAGCAATAAAAGTAAATAGCAAAGAGGGAATTTCCATGTGACGCCCATGTTCACGTCACGCTCCAGTCATTGACAGGGATCATGCGACGAAGTTTGAGACCATAAACATCGAAGCACGCGGGAGTGGACACCGTCGATGGCGCCGAAATCGAAGTTGGCTGATGCAAAGGGTAGTAAGCACCGTCGTGCACGGCGCGTTACCCAATTCAAGACGCGACGTAGAGCCACTTTGGAGGCCCGCAACTCAGATGGCTCTGGATTACGAAGGGCTTCAAGAATCGACAAACCCTTTCATCAATTTTGTAGCTCCCAAGTGCATAATACAATGTAGTCCATGCAAGCCCACTTGCTCGTGAGCTCTCAGTACTTATAAAACTGCATCAATTCGCCGTCGCATCCTGCAGGAGCGCCGTCAATTGAACTCGAAACCACGTTAAGCTCGCGCATCAATGTAATAGGCTCCCACCGTAGCTACAATATACCACCAGCGCAGCGAACGTCGCACTCGTACTGGGTGGTTCCCATCCCCGGCATGGAACTATCGTCGGATGCTCGCGCCGGGAGCGTGTTTACTCGGTCGGCACGGGATCCTTCTCGAGTGCCCTTCCTCCTACTAAAGTACCTCGGCACAACGACGCATGGCTCGTATCAAGTACGCAGCCGCGAATTGCAAATGAACGTAGTAGCATTGGCGTAGCGTCATGCAAGAATACCTTGCACGCGTATTAGTATCTTTTATGGTTTGTATCTATCTTTCAAGTTGGGCCGGATCCTCCGGATAAAAATCCTGGGTGATTATCCGGCCCAAGTGCAATCTTGCGGCTTTGCGATGCCCAACCAAGTGTCCACGGCGGTCTTCTGGGATATGTTCTATGGCCGCACGGCGAGCCCGGACGAGTGGTATCTCTCGTTCGAGCACGACGCGATGAAGGCCATGGCGCCCGAGCTGACGGCGCTCGTCGACGGCGCGCTCATCCTGCACCTCGGCTGCGGCTGCTCGGCGATCGCAGAGACGCTTGCCGCCGCGACGGGCCGCCGCGTCGTGCTCGCCAACATGGACTTTTCGGGCATCGTGCTCCAGCAGCTCCAGGCCAAGGAGGCCGGCGCCGCAAACACGCTAGTGGAGTTTCAGCAGATGGACGCGCGCTACGTGTCGTACCGATCGGCGACCGTCGACTTCATCGTCGACAAGGGCACGCTCGACAGGTACTAGTGCCATGGCAACGTACAATGCGAAAGGAAGCTCACACTTTTCATAGCATTCTGTCGGACTCGACCAAGGTAGACGCCAACAGCCGCCTCGTCACGAGCGAGCTCTGCCGCGTGCTGCGATCTGGCGGCAAGGTGCTTAGCGTCTCGACATTTCGCAGCGAGCACCGGTTGCGCTGCTTGGCGCACCCGAGCTGGCGCGTCGAGTGCAAGGTGATTCCCACGACGCCGTACGAGTACCCAGACCAGCCCGAGTGTTATTTATATGTCATGACAAAGCTGTAATGCTACAGCGCGTCAACTGATTCTACTTGGTCTAATCAACACTCCGTCCGAGATACTACCCCCTGCTGATGGACGCCATATCGTCGAGTCGATTAGTACACTG